ACCGTCTTCAACAGACTATTAAACATGACGTAAGCCTTATGCCGGTTAATTCTTAATCCCGGTTTGATGTTGGCGTTGCTCAGGTGTTTGATTCTCTGTTGGAGTTCTTCCAGTGACATTGAGAAGATTAGAACATCGTACACGGACTGCAGATGGCTATTAAGTAAGTTATATTCAGCACCGGATTTTCCCAACGAGTGTTTTGAAACTTCTGGTGCTGCTGGCAGAAACGTTTGTAATATTGCACCATCCTATCCGATGTTTATTCGCTAAGCTCTCACCGCTATTAATCGCTAATTGAGTTGTTTATTTGCAATTTTTTGAGTTAAATAATATTGTTAATATAATGCATTAACTTAATGCACTACAGTATTGTTTAACATCTACTATCAACTAGCGTTGATACTTGTCAACGCTTATCAGTGGTGATTTAGTTAGTGCTTGAACGCGCCTTTGTTCAGTTCTGTTTCTAATGCACTGCATCTGATCAAATACCATTTTAGTGTGGCCGGCTTAAACGGTTCTCTTGTGCACTTACGCCGAGTAAGTTCGGTAACAGAAAGCGAAATTATGCAACCTACACTTCGCTATCAAAACTTTTTTTCCGGTTCCTTCAGTCCTTCAGAAAACCTTTCTCAGTGTTTTTCTCGATCAGATGATAATGACTACGATGATTGAGATGATAAGAATTGGGCTTAAAGATGATAGTGATATGGTGATCATAATGACAATATTAACGATTACGAGGAGGATTATGGTGATCAAAATGATCTTGATGATAGTGAATAGAAGCAAGGCGACGATGACGATCGTCACTGTGGTTTTTTGGACATTCAGTACGTACCAATAGACAAAAACTAGTTGCTGCAGTGACGTTTATTTTAAATCACAAATAATCGACAAAAAATCGGATTATCGCCATCGTTTTCAGCTAAGCACTCAGCTGATGGTATGAACGGTAGCGTAACTTCTGAAGGAGAAAAACTTTTTCACGAAAGCGGATTTCAGCTCTGGAGTAAACCAACAATGCGAGGTGGGGAACACCGAACAACAGGCAGCAGCAAATATCCAGATGTAGTTCTTTGCGACGATCGCCTGGTACGACTTTGGCCTGATGACCAGGCCGCTGACTAAACAAGGAAACTGGAACAGGAACAGCAGCGTGTTGACGATCATGACGTGGCGAGGCACGATGGCCGCAACGCGTTGATTACTGTCGCTCAGATTCTCGTCGTTTCTCCTCTTGACGATCACAATTAATAACACGACATGGCACACGACGATGATGCCGCTTGCCATGACGGGGAAAAGCAGGAATCCCTGGAAAGCCGCGTACCCGATGGTCTCAGCATGGAAGCATTTGGCGCTGATCATTTGATTGCGCAACGTGAACGCCGACACGAACGTCACCAGGTACCACATACAAGCTATGAGAATATTGAGCACCAAAACTCGCAGAGCCACCGCCGCACTGATCATTCGTGCCCAGCGAACGGTCAGCACCGAAATCAGCCGGTCACCGCACAGGGTCAGCAAAGACAGAAACAGCATCACCATGCCGATTTGGTAGAACATCACGTGCGCTGCTTGGATCAGGCAAGAGATCCTCGAAATGGAAACGTCTGCTGTCTCTGACACAATTATTCTTCTCACGGACGCTGCCAAATATCCAGCGCTGTTCAACAGGCTGCCGATGGCAATTCCTAAAACAGTTATGAAATCGTACTTATTTTTGAACATTTTCTTTTAGGAGATCGTCTACGAAGCAGCAGAAAGACGGTTAAGCAATTTCAAAAACCGGCAAAGCTTTTCAAACATCAAATCCGAATCATTATTGAATTATTTTTACTTTAAATGAGAGTAAACCCATACAATAGGGTTTGGCTTTATGTATAAATAGACCTTCGGCTATCAAGCAGTGTTTGGTGTCCGAACAAACCTTAATTCCGTCCTGCCTAGTGATTTGAATTTGCATCAGTGCACTGATACCATGGAGTCGTGGCCTGGTTATTGGTCCCCTAGATGACTAGATGTAAGGGATGGTGCCATTACGCTCTTTAATCCGATGTCAAAAGAGAAAGTGCTATGGTTTTACTTTTGTGAATGAGTTGTGGCGGAAAAACTTGTGAAAGCGAATATCATGATTAACATGACGCTGACTGGAAGGATTTTCTGATGGTTAAAGACCCTGTGATCGCTTGCGAATTAACATTTTAATAAATTCATGATCATAAGGTTATTTTTCAGAAGGCGACGTCATCTTTTAGCTTTACCTGATTCAGAACACATCGGCTTATGATCATGAGCCGTTAGAAACTCCCGTTTATTGCCATTTCAGAGGCAATGGCATAGTAGTATAAGGTCAGCATCGGAATTCGCAAAGAATTCAATTGATTGCTAATTTCTTGAGTAAGAATTCACCCGTCGTTGTTTCGATGCAGCCAGCAGAGAAAGAGGCAGCAAGTCGTTGACCTCAGGAGGAACAGCGTTGTGTTCTGGTACGATCATGCAGCGATAAGCCCGCGGTATTATCATGCAGTCTCATACTATCAGCTGTAAGGGCTGCAATTCACTTCGACCCACTGATAGATCACTAACTTATATGACAATCAACACAACGTCGAAACTATATTGCTGTTATTGCTGCTGATGAATTTCAGAAAAGTTCAAAACGCTTCTCCGTGTGACATGGATGCAGCTCATGGATACAGTTCAGAAACTGCAATATTCTGCATGAGTCCAAACTTCGGGCGTTGTATGTAGCAATGTGTAATCTTTTCCGTAGCTGTAGTTTGCGTGGATGAACATCCTCTGCAGTAGGCAGATCATCTGGCCACCTGAGAATCTCAGCAGCAGGTCACAGTCTCCAATGGTTTGCGGAACATCAGGTGGTGTGAGAGATCATTGTCTTTTGACAAACGAATCTGGATTTTTCGCTCGTCATCATTGCGCTTTCATTTCAGTTTAACACACTCTGTGGTTCTCACTACTTTCGTTTACGTTGGTGATAGAAGTGCCCTCCGTCTGGGCTGAAACTGTAAAGCCTAGATCTCAGTCAACGCCGACTCTGTCTGTCTCGTTGACCGATCGTTCCCGGATTCAGGGTGGATTTTTCTGGTAGTCTGAGTGGCTTCATTTTTATTCAGCCATGTGTTTCCTTCTTTTGTCACGATTTGATCACCATAGCAAGGACGCTGAGGTTGCATTTTGCAGAGTTTCGCTTTTTAAATATGAGTCAAAATAATACGTGAAGTCTCATCTTCAAGAAGACAACATTAAGCTAAAACTGCAGCTTCAAAGCCATTCAGTCTCCGAGTTTTCAGTCATTTTCAGTCACCTGATGAAACTCGCCAACTTCTTCACTTGCATACATAAAAGCAGCGTCCGATGGAGCATCAAATAGGTTCTGGTAAAGAAAATTAATCACGGACATGTGCTATCTCGTGCCCAGCATTTATGACAAGTACCAGCGAATTAGCCCCTGATTCTCTTTAATGAATTCCAAATTGCTGTGGCCTCCCAAGCTTCTTTTGAGGGCTGATTCGTGTTATCAATATTTAGAGTCCGCAGTCCTGATCACAAAATTTCCGTGGCCTAGATCAAGAAGGCTTCAAGTAAGATCTCTTCGACGATGGTGGTTGTGATCGTTATGGATTTTGTACCGACAAATTAATATAGAATCCAATAGTAATGTGAGAGTCGATCCAGAGGTTGTTTTTGATTTTCTGAGTGCCTTTTGGCCTGCGACAACTTGCTTGGTGACTCGCCCATACCCAGCTACTGTGCCTCGCTGTGACTGTGATATCCAACCAGTTAATGGCCAATTTCATGTTAGACAGTCGATTGAATATTATGACTGTTTCCGCTTTGTCGGGGAAACTCCCTTTCATAATCATTAGTGACGATCTCAAATTCTTTTTCAATATATGGCTTCAGAAACATCCAGTACATGTGGTAGACAATGCCATTTACTGTTTTGTCGAATTTCTTGTCGAGTTTCACCCATTGCTAATCGACGTATGAACTTCCTGTATTCATATCTTCGCAGTAAGGAGTAAGTATGTTTTATCTCCTTTCGAACTATCTAGTTTCAACACAAAGTTGTTGTTGTCACATGCATATTTACGAAGTAAAAATATCATCTTTGTTGATTGAAAGTTTCCTAGGGTTAAATATCGGTACGTTACATAATCCATGAAAATTGTTTGACGCTGTGTTTAGATTAACAGATCCTTTATAGTGTTTTGCATGCAGTATGATCACTCAAGGTACCATATGGCTTCTACCACCCATGGCAGGCATTTTCATGTACGGTCCGTGTGATCGATGGATCAGGAGGATTTCTGAATGTCGTTCTGCAACAGAGGGGCCGTTCATCATCCACTGGCCGAGAGTTTCTGACCCTCCTAGTTATTTAGAAATCGTTGCGTTTCACTAGTCAAAATTACGGCTAAAGAGGATAACCAGATGTAGACGAAACTCAAGCCGTTTAGTAGTACCATGCTGTGTTTACTTTATGACGAGTTTCATAATCTCTGACATGATTAGAGTGGGATGCGAAGCGTTTTCAACTTTTCAGAAATCATCGAATTGCCAATTATCCACCCTTCGGCTAGTTGCAGAGTGCAAGACATTGTGAATTCCTTGTTCGAGGGTGTCAGTGATCAATGAGAAAAATCTGCGCTATGCCTCGGCTCTTTGCCTCATTCAACTCGTTACTTCAGTTCGCATTCACAGAGCTATCTCATCCGCAAGTTGCCAATTGACTGAAAGCCTCTCTGTGATCATATTTAACTTACCGGCTGCAATGATGACGCGTTTGGTAAATTTCTTTGACACCTTAACACAGTAGAGAGCCAGTGAGTTTCCAATTACTCCGAGGACTCCAAAAGTCATATAA